GTTTCCGGTTCAAGTTACAGAGGATATGCGAGTGAATGTACTCGTTCCGTCCGTACTCCGATACAAACACACGCGGTTCAAATAATACGAATGAACAACTGAACCACTGGCCACGTAGACAGGTTGTTTAGGCTGGATCCGGCGATACTGCTTGGACTGTATGTCCATGTTACCAAAGCTTATGCCATGATATGTCATGAACATAGCATATCTGCATGCACTTGATTCCAACAACACGTCAGTTGACGTTTCCAAATATTTTGTGAGGGACAAAAGCGTCACGAAATCACGTCATGAATGACTTATATCTTACTTTTTGCCATGTTTGGCCATGTGAAAGTTTCCGGTTCAATTCCCACATGCTGAGTTAGTGAATGAACACTCACATCCCTCGTGGCTCGGCATAGCTACAGAGTGAGTGGTATCTATCTTCTTACTTGTTTTGGAAATGTTCTGTGTGTGACCTTTTGTCTATTGTGGGGATCAATCAGAAAGCTGGTTATTTGTTGGGAGCGGCGTTAAACAACAATCAATACGACTTCAGACATCTATTAAGTAGAGAGGGAACATCAGGCCATCACTGAACATTATGTTATCACAGTTCTTATATCTTACTGGGGCGGCGGGGTAGCCTAGTGGTTAAAGCGTTCGTTCATCACGCCGAAGGCCCGGGTTCGATTTCCCACATGGGCACAATGTGTGAAGCCCATTTCATGTGTCCCCCGCCGTGATATTGCTGGAATATTGCTAAAAGCGGCGTAAGACTTAACTCAGTCGGATCTCATTTTCATCCGCATTATTTGCGAATAATGTATGACCCACTGCTGTCTAAAAGGGATCACATTGATGTATCTCAAATTAATTTTGCACTGAGTAATTATGTTAACAAGAACCTCTGTGTGAACAGTGTGTACATGAGAAACATCTTACTCAGTAATATCGAATCGTGTACAAAAATGATCCCTTCATTTTACACATAGTAACGATGATCTTTCTTACCGTTTTCGTAACGGGTGAAAATGAAATGTGCACACACACACACCCTCCCCTTTCTCAACAACCTGTATCCGCCCCTGATATATATAGTTGTGGCGATCATTAGCGACTTATCAGGGTCAGATGATCATGTCCATTGCGTGTATGTGAATCTCTCACTGACTTGCCTATATACTGTTTTCTAAGCAATGATTCCACCTCCGATGGTCCACTGTTATGTACTGGTAACGGTTCCTAATTACATGATATCCTTTACATGTGCCCATGATGTTTTAGTCCCGTGAACAACAGAGCCAATTCTGTACAGAGAGACAAACTGGGTGTTAGAATTGTAAGACTTTGGGGTAAGGAGATTCCAGATTGCCACACTAATTACACAGATTACTTCTCTCATACCCACAGCACAGCCTAGATGAATTGACCAGTTATATCCTTAGTTTAGATCGTTAATATATCAGACAATAGACCTCTGCAGTTTAGACCCGGTCTGCGACTGATACCCTCCAGTTATGTCTAAATAAACAGTTGCGAGCCGCCAGGTGGACTTGGTTGTTACCTAGACCGCCAAGTATAGTGTTATACTTACACTGTGTGTTTGTTAGCTTGTATTACTATTTGTGTTTATGTGTGTGTGTGTGTGTGTGTGTGTGTGTGTGTGTCTGTATCTCTCTCTCTCCCTCCCTTCCCTTCCGCCTTCATTTCTCTCTACCTCTCTCAGTGTGTGTATGCAAAGAAACTCTAAATGACATTTGACAAGAGTGATTGAGAGCAGCCAGTCTGGGAGAGCTGGCTGACTGAATTAGGTCAAAATGTTCCCGAGAGAAAAGGTCACTCACAGCACATTTCGATAACAAGAAAAAGATAGCAACGCTGAGTCACGAGAAATGTCAATGTTTCCATTGTTCATTCGTATTTTGCACCCTCCATTTTGCCTTTCACGTCAAGCAGGTAATCGAGCCTCGTTATACTCTCTTTTCTTCACCTCTGATATTTATACCACCGTATCATGGTGAGTTTGCGTTATTTACAAATGCCGACCGCTGTCAGTATACATTTGTGACACGAGATGCACACACGGGACCAAAACCGGATTTTGCAGCAATGAAACAAGACAAATTCAGTGAGGAATGCATGTTATGACTGGATTTGCACAATAAACTATGTTTCTCGATATTAACTCTCGGCGTTCTTTTATATAAAACTACACTTGGAGCATATACTAATGGTGTATTGCCGTACACACAAACACCTTCATCGTGTATACCATGATCAGATTTGCAGAAACTTCCTAGCATGAATTCAAAAGTTGAAACCTCAGTAAATACTTGATCATATAGAGTACAATGTCTTTCCAATACATTCCTTCTAATTGTTATAGGTGCTGAAATTTACGAATCCTTTCTAAGTTTAACAGGGTTTGAAATATGGACAATTTGTAAAATATCAAATGTTCTCATGAGTTGGTCTCATCAGTCCGAATGTGTAGGGCGTGTATTTGAATAGTTTATGTATTTGTGTTACTGGTACTAAAACGTTTCTACCATGTGAAAGTTTATTTTTCACATTGTTAAATGTTACATGTTCTGTTACCTTTGCTACCAAGGCTTATATGACTTCATTCAATGTATACCGCTAAGGCTCTGGCTGAGAGAAACAGTGTTATGCAAGTTGAGACGTTTCTATTAGGTCAGAAGCTTAATCAGTTCCCTTCAACCGGTTGTAAATTCTTCAGAATAATGTAAAACAGAAAATGAGATTCTAAATCTTTGAGCGTTTACTCCCATGTTATCATTCACAATGGGTTTTTACCTTCACTGAATTGTTACTCTTTTCTTGAGAACTAGCTATAGTTATCAGACTTCCATGTGACAAGCCGCTGTTTGGATTAGATCTCTGACTTTGTGTGTTGGGGATTAGCGTTCTCAATCTGAGAGTGTGGGTTTGAAATGCACAAAACAGTCGTGTCCTTTTAGTCCCCAATAAATGCTTTTTCAGTAAAGCAATACCTTATGTGGGCATATCGAAGACATTGAACAGAATCATCGTTATTCCAACATACGCTATGCATGTTCAATTAAGAATAAGAGAGAAAAACATGTTCTGTGATAAGTGAAGTTAGAATATAAACGAACGTCAGTCTCTATGCAAATGAACATAAAACATGTAGGAAAACATTAAAGTTAGACTTAATCAGCTGGACTCAATGTATTCGTATAACAAGTTTGAATATAGGATCCCAGGTGAGTTTGAAGGTGAATTAGGGAAGGACAAATGCATTCCAGTAACTTTGATCCAGCTGAAGGAACACATTTAAACAACACACATGATATTCTTATAGTGAGGAACAGCTTACGATTTGATTTGTAGGTTTCAAGTTTGTACGTGCCAGAAAGTTGCTATTCTGTAGAAACTCGAGAAAGGTCAATTAATGAAAACTATTAGATTTGTTAAAGTGCTCAGTGAAATATGAGGACTTATATTTACAAGTACATACATTCTCTACTCCCCTTATCTTCACAAAGCATGCATATTATTGTATCCTTCACGGTGACATACTTAATTCCAGCTGATTGTGAATGACTATGCCTTTCCAGTCCAAACACAAATTTAATCTATGATTTAATCTGTATCTTTTATATTGCTATCTGCATATGCTTAGATCAGGTGTGTTAGCTGATCAGCTGTTATTCCCAATGTCAATGTTTATCTTGATACAAGTGCCGATTCATCATTTGAAACTGTTACTCTTCGGGTTTGTACTGTATCATTTGGTTAATATACTTTCATTATGCAACTCGCTGAGTGTAATAAATATTATTTCTCAAACAATGGCCATCCCTTCAAATGTTCCTTCGTATGGCTTTGCACTTAAAAAGGGGAAACAATATGGACAATGCCCATTATTCCAGTCCGGGATGGCAGCGTTCCACTTGGAGGAACGAACTTGAACCTCTGAATCAAAGTGGTCAGAATCAGGAACTGTTCCATACGGACCAGTGATTGTCCAACACAAGCACGGCGTCCTGCCAAATAGATTAAACATAACAAACATTATTGCATGATCTACACAAATTACATATCCTTTTGTTTATCATAGTTATGGGTTTGGACAACACAATGTTTCTTATCTCTTTTATCCATCCTTCTGTTTTACCTCTCAGGCCAGCCGACTTCTTGTTGGTCTATAACCAACTATTGAACTAACATCGGGGATAGCTCCATGCAAGGTTTAGAGGAACAACCCATCCCTATCTGGGCCCACCACGGAGAAGCGTATATCACCAAACTGTTATTGTTATGTTTTACATATCAAAATTAGGTGCAGCAGAGAGTGAGGTTGTTGTCCCGGCACAGTCAACATGCTAAGGCTCATCATTATCAATGAAGCACTCAACCTGGTAAGACTCATCATTAGCACAGGTACCCTTGTCCCCTCTATACACCTGCACACAGTCACACACAAGAAGGTTCGAGAGATCAGGAGGTCCCAATCCAAGGCCACAGAGAACAATGAGGAACCTGACAACAGTGTACTTCGGATGCAAGTGAGATATTTCAAAAGGCAAAGTCCGCATATCCATCATGCTTTTCCTGAATCATGCCAAACATGTTGCTATCAAAATGGACAATCAGTATCAGTAGTAGTTTCAACAACGATAAAAACAGAAAGGTGACGTCATCACTCATCAGTCAAACGGTCTTACCTATACCAAAATATAGCTCACCATAACTCCAAATAGCCCTGTCCCTCTACCCAACGAAAGAACATTCTGGAGAATATGTGGACTCCCTAAGACACCCCAAGAGTGTCAGAAGGGCTATGCTCTGGAGAACCCGGGCACTGTCCTGATTTTCGTCAAGAGATCAGGAGGTGCAAAACCAAGGGCATCGAGAACAATGGGGAGCTTGCCAACAGTGTACTAGCGATGTTAGCGACACATTTCAAAAGCAAGGTCCACATATATTTATCATACTTTTCCTGAGTTTTGTCAATCATGTTGCTATCAAAACGCAGTCTGATCGTGAAGCACTGAGTTTAACACGGGAATGATAGTGACACCCTCAGGGAACGTGTAGCCCATGAACTGGACGTCGCAGGGGACTGTATATGGCATTCCTGTCTGGACCGCATCTGTGTGTCTCAATACTTCTGAATACATAGCCTCAACGTAAGGAAGGTTGGGCTTGTCCATCATCGTTGGTCTTCTCTCCAGTCCGATGTGTTCTTTGATCTCCTGGAAACACTTCTCCTGGACTTCCGGGTAGTGGAGTAGATATAGAAGTGACCACTTGAGGTTGTTGCCGATATCAATTGCTCCCGCCATAAAGATATCGGTCATAGTCATCTGTAGGTGACTTTCTAAACAGAAATGACAATGTTTCCGGGGGATCCTTTAGACAGTGCAACATTTGTAAATTGCACGACAAACGATTTTGTGACCTTCATTACTTCACTTAACTCTTAGTATGAAGGTACAAATAGGAGACTGTTTAAAATTAATAATGATTTTAGGTTAAAAGCCTTCTCTACACTAAAACGAAGTGTGTTTGCTATTTGCATACAAATCAGTCAGTTATCAAACAAATCAAACACCCTCTCATTATGTGTAATTGCCTTTACCATCAAACGCCTTGTCCTCCTGCTTGCTGCGTCGCACCTCTTTGAGGAAAGCTGTGGTAAAATCTTCAACGTTGTCTGCATCATAGTTGTTGACACGTTCCTTAACGTTTCGGGCTAGCTCTTTCCTCATAACCTCTATGTTTCTAACAAGATGTTTATAATTAAAGAAATCTCATGGTAGCAATCTCACAAATGGAAACAGATCGACCATGTTTGAATTTCCTATGTCACTAAAAGTCTTTTCTACTGCGTCTGTCAACTTATTGAACCGTGGGTCATTGTATTCATAATGACGCTTACATGTAGCCCATGTTGTTTACAATCAAACTCCTTTGAACCCTCGTCTTCGAAAGCTTTCAAAAGTAGATACAACTCTTGCTGTATTTTCTCGTGTTTAAACTTGCCATCCCCAATTCTCTGAGAGTGGTGACAGTGAACTTTCTTATGTCTTTCCATGTTGCGCCACCAGTGTTCAATATTCCTTAAACATAAATCACATTATATATGGTAATTGTTGACATCGTCATGGAATAAAAAACGTGTATTTCTGTGTTAGAAATTTATTGTATATATCAAGGGCATACTTGACTTTACATAATACAGTTGTAATATACAGCCCTAATTATCTTTTCTCGCATTTGGCCTCGGGTTAATTCCGGTGTTTTCCATTCGACGAGTTTTCCCCGTCGGTATATAGGCAGTGAGTTTCATTGCATTTATCCTCAGTCTTTGGATTGTGAGACGTAATACCGTTTGAATAACATTAAAAACTACTCGATGTTGTGTACATTGTAATCCATATCCTTTTACCTGATAGAACTTATATTTAACTGTCGTTTCGTCAGAGCTATTGCTTCGGCAATGTTATCCATGGAGGCGGCCATATTTGATGATGACGTCATGAGTTTATGTGTACACAGTTCGTTGACAAAATTACTTTTGCAAATTCTGTATTTTAAGCGTCAAAGACATTTCCACAATTATAATGAGTCCTGTGACGCTCTACATTTATTATTTATGCACCAATAATAAATTAATATGTTTTGCTTGTTGATTGTAAACAAATTACGTCATGAGGATTGTGACGTAGTTCTGGTCAGTTGTCAGTTGACAGTTGACAGTTGACAGTTCTAGACTGATTGTGGTGGATGCGAGTCGCAGATTTTCCATATATATTTTCACCGGTATCTACCGAGAACACCACAATATTATGTAAGTATAATATATCCAAGCTTTGCTTGAGACAGTACTTACTTAATCAGAAGTTTGTTCTGATTTAAATAATATTTGACATTATTGACTGTGATAAATTTATGTGTAATAAATCCTTGTTCATTGTTTCAACTTCATGTTGTCAAGTTATTTCTTTTTATTGGTAGAAACTGTAATTAACAGGGTAAAAGTGAGAGTGGACCACAGAACAGACATGCTACTTAAATAAAATATATTTTTCTCGTTTTACCCCCATTGAACCGTTACAGTTTTATGGTGGCAGCGGTGGGATCCTTTCTTGTGGATCAAAGAAATATTTAGTAAATAACTTGAATAAAACATAAGTTAGTTGGTAACTTTATATTATAACTTTAAGTAAAATTTTCCCATTACATAAAAATGGAGTTTCACAGTCAGAATAACCCTGATCTAAGGAGAGTAAACTCTGTGGAGGGTTCGGCAGGTAATTTGCGTTCTCGCCAAATGCACAGCTTTCCAGAGTTACACTCTGTGACAAATACTTCTCCAGATAATGCCTATAGGGCTGAGTCTGAGAATGTTGCTGGTACTATACCGCCTCAGCTTTCACCAGTTGATGTACTTAGTTCAAACACATTCATTCATTCCCCAGTGAATAATGGTTTGCATCCTGAGCTCAATTCTCAAGACAATTCTATGCATGCTACACCTTCGTACAATCCGCCACGCCCAGTGGTGAGTTCAGATCCAAATCTTGTGGGTCTGGTGTCACAGTTGTCCAGCTGTGTTCTCAGTTTGTCTCAGAGAATAGATTCAATGGATAGAGGTACCTCAAGGGGAGATACTTCCATTGGTAGAATTTCTCTGCAGTTGCCCAAGTTCAATGGAACTGGTGATTATCGGGTTTTCGAAGCCCAGTTTAGCAATATTGCTAATCAGTCCCGTTGGAACAATGCCCAGGCTGCTCAGATGTTGGGATGTGCTCTGGAGGGAGCAGCACAACGTTTCTATGCAGGTTTACCTGTAAGAGAGCGTTTAGACTGTCATTGGCTGTCTGATCAGTTAAGAAGACGGTATGGTACTTGTATCCCTGATGTCAAACGGGAGGAGCTCATGATGAGAACCCGTAAACCTAGTGAGACTATTGCTGAGTTATGTGATGATATCTGGCATTTGGCTTTGGGAGCCTATCCAGATCTACCTTTTGAGATGCAAGAAAGGTTTGCCTTAGATGCACTTAAAAGAGCAGTCGATAAAGACTTAAGACTTAGATTCCTTGATAGATGTGTCTGTACTCTTCAAGATGCTATCGAGGTTGCAGAACTTTACGAATCTGTTGTTGGAAAACCAGGTTCAAAGAAATCTGTGAGATCTGTCAGTCCTCATCCTTCTCGAGGGAAGAGAGTTCAGTTTGAGTCGGAAGGTTCTTCTGTGGATAAAAAAAATCGATTCTCTTACTGACCAGTTATCAAGCCTCCAGAAGACTGTGGAAAAACTTGCTGCCGTACAGTTTCACTCTTCTCGTTCCCCGTAAGCGACCTGAAGGAGGAAGACAAAACTACAATCGCAATAAGGACAGACAAAATCAGTCTCAGTCCCCATGGAAGAAAGACAATTCCGGTCGGCGGAGTGAATCTCGCTCGCCAAGTACGAGCAGGAGAGATAAAGATGCCTGTTTCCAGTGTAAACAGACAGGTCACTGGGCTTCTGAGTGTCCTCTGAATTCCCAGATGAATGGTTGTCAGGGAAACGGTTACCCACTGGCCCGGAATTAGGTCGGATGCCAGTGGAGAATGTACCAGTTAAGGAGACCTCAAAGCCTAAATCAGCTAAATCCAGTGGTCAGGTGGAAATTTGGATTAGTGTGGTTTCCAGTAAAGGGGAGGCAATTCCCGATAATCCTCTACACAATCCACCTGACCCAGTTGCTGTTAAAGCAGATTTCCAAGCTTGCTTTAAAATAGGTGATAAGGGCCAATTTGTTAATTTAAGGATAGGTCATACTTATTTCACCTTACTTGTTGACACTGGTAGCCAAGTGTCTCTGTTGTCTCATGCTGCAAGCAAGCGCTTGTCCTCCTCTATAGCTATTAATCCTATTGACATGATGCTTGAGGCTGTGAATGGAAGTTTGTTCCAGGCTTTTGGAATTTTCCAAGCATCTGTCTTTCTGGGAGATGATTTAAGCCCTAGTAAGGAAGAGTTCATCATTGCAGAGGTAGATAACTCTCATGAGTGCGATGGCATTATTGGAATAGATGTGTTAGAAAGACTTGAGGGTGTGATCGACATCGCTGGGTCGAGGATCCAGTTGCGCGGCAGATGGTTGCCAATGGTTGGCACAGAGACCACTGTCATGGTTGCTGATGATGTCCCACTGCCACGCCAGTCTGTATCCTATGTCCAAGTTAGCTTGCCTGAGAGTCAGAGAGATCAGTCCTCTATCCTCATAGAACCCTGCAAAGACATGTTATGTGCACATGGGTTAGTTATGGGCAATTCAGTAGTTACTAATTAAAGTAAAGTGGCTACAGTCAAAGTGATCAATGTTCTAGACAAAGAATATATCCTAGCTAAAGGTAGAATCCTGGGACAGTGTGAGAATGTAAACTTAGTTTCAAATAAACTGGCTAAGAGAGTCTCACGTGTCAGAGTTAACAATGCTAAGGTACCTGATCATTTAGCAGATTTGTTTGACCGAAGCAAGGTTAATTTGGACGCAAGCCAACAAGAAAAAGCTTCGAGATTTCCTATACAATTATAGAGATAGTTTTGCTAAGAACGATGATGATCTTGGATGTACCAACTTAGTTAAACACCGCATTGACACGGGTGATGTGAGACCAGTCAAGCAAGCCCCTCGCCGTCAGACCCTTGCTAAGCAAGAGGCGGAGGAGAAAGAAGTCAATCGAATGTTGGAGCAAGGTTTCATACAAGCATCGAGTAGTCCCTGGGCTTCCCCAACAGTTCTTGTTCAGCGCAAGGATGGTCGTTGGAGATACTGTTGCGATTTTCGTGTTTTAAACGAGCGCACTAGAAAGGGCTCATATCCTTTGCCTCGTATCGATGACTGTATCGATAGCCTAGGGGGTGCAAGGATGTACAGTACCATGGATTTACAAGCCGGCTACTGGCAAGTCGAGATGGATCCACGTGAAAACAGAAAACAGCTTTTACAACACGTTTCGGCTTGTTCGAATGGAATGTTATGCCATTTGGTCTCTGCAACGCTCCTTCCACGTTCGAAAGGCTCATGGAGATGATTCTCAGAGGTCTCCAGTGGAACGAATGTCTCTGATTCCTGGATGACATAATAGTGTTTGGGCGATTTTTGATCAAGTAATGATCCGCCTGAAAACAGTCTTGGATCGCCTATCTTTAGCAGGCCTTAAATTAAAGCCGAGAAGAAGTGCCATCTCTTCAAGGAGAGAGTGGACTTTCTGGGTCATGTCATTTCGGCTGACGGTGTACACACACCCAGCCAGAGAAAATTGAAACCGTCAGATCCGGGCCAACTCCCAAATCTAGAAAACAGATCCAACAATTTCTGGGACTAGCCAACTATTATAGAAAATTCATCAAAGATTTTTCGAAAATCGCGAGACCACTGACAAAACTTTCCAGTCCGTCGGTTGAGTTCCAATGGACTGAGGAAACTGACAGAGCTTTCATACAGTTGAAAGACGCTCTCACCTCAGCCCCTGTCCTTGGTTTTCCCACACGAGAGGGTGAAATCACCATCGACAGTGATGCATCTGGTGATGGTCTTGGAGCTGTCCTGTCACAGAATCAAAATGGCAGAGAGGTGGTACTGGGTTACTACAGTAAATGTTTCACTCCAGCTGAAAAGAATTACTGTGTCACTCGCCGTGAGCTGTTGGCAGTAGTTGCAGCTTGTCGTCATTGGCATCCATATGTCTTTGGTAGGCCTGTCACCAT